ATTGATGATTACAACAACAGTACTTAATTTTTTTCACATATTATAGGTCTTCTGTCTGAATTAATACATTGGGGTTATCATTAATAATTTGTTGGGAAAGCAAACCCAATTTAACATATCATTATTTTTTCCATATAATTTAAAAACGTGATTTCCTATTTTCAAGTTTACTGTGTTGTATTTGGGAAAGTTGCACATCACTGCATTTTGCAATGCAAATATGACCATGTTTACATATGATGCAAACTACAACATTTTTCTTTCACAGAATACACTCCTGGATTTGATGGGCAAGGCAGCTGTATTCCCTATAAAAATCTATAAAGCTACCTTTCATCCAAGGGAATGCTGAAATTTTGGATGTATAATTTGCATGTCACAGATTATACTGGTAAATTATTTTAAAAATGAACTTCCAAAATAAAGTCCTGAAAGAGGCTTCAATGGTTCAGTGTAGTAAGAAAAATGTAATAATAAAATATTAACTTTTCATATACACAGCAGCACAACTGCTTTCTATTTGGGTTACACTGTAAACAAATATAGCTGTTCTCTAGTAAACTCACTACACAATGAACTTCTGGCAAAACTTGAGGTAAAGAATGATTAACTGGGTAGAAGAAATTATTAAGAAAATCGGTCACTATAGGTCAATACACTCCCAGTAAAAACAAGATATTTAGCTTCGGATTTCCATCTTTATAATTTTTGTAAAATGATAATTCACAGCAACTTACAAAGATCAAGGGGGGGGGGGGGATGCATGACAGAAACTAACTGCAAATTGAAAATCTCTTAAATAGATGCCACAAATATGTCATTCATTCATTTAGAAAACGATTGCATTGCAATATTTTGTGATGCCTAAATGATCTAATTTATAAATACCAATACAGAGTGACCAAATATTAGCATAATTTTCACTACAAGTATTTCAAATTACATCTGCCCCACAGCTTAGCCCCACAAAGCCATTACTCATATCTAAACCAACATGTCCTGTGCACATTGCATCTTAAGCCAGGACATCTTCTCAAGATCTAATATGATTAGAATTGACTGACTTCAAAATAACCTTGTACACTGATCCCAGTTTGAAAACATCACCAGTACTTGTTTGATTGTTTAGTGGTCTATTAGGTGGATCACAGGCTTCCATGTGTTCTCACTCATTTTTCATACCACCAGAGAACATTTGGAGTAAATGTACGTAATGAATATGTTTAAGTCAAATCAGTTAGAGAGTAACATCAGTGTAGAATCAATTTAAATGCCATTATTCAATGTTACTCTTCATTATCCCTAAACAATGAGAATATTTTAATGTATACAGACTTCTGAAGGAGAGGCAGCAGAACATATTCAAATATTTTTAGTAACTGTATCCGATTGGACTGAAAAAAAACAATGTGGATGTTATGTGCAAGCTTTCATATAATTCTATATTAATCCCTGCATTGAAAACAACTTCAAAGTACGCCTTACACACAAGATGCTGTCAGAGGCACTTTCCAGTGTGCCACAGCAAACCTGCAAAACTGTAAAAGAAGTGGTTAATGAATTTACTTCAGGGCAATTTGTCCTAAAATAACCAATATCAGGCCAAAATGAAAGAAATACCCATTGTCCCACTGCGATTGCTTTGCTTTGCAACAGGCCGGCCATTAATTGGTGACAGTCAATTAATCACAGCCAGCACAGACGGCTGCATCTATTGATCTTGTCCCAGCACTTATTTTTCATCCCTAAATAACACCGATTGCCATATTTGACCAGCATGTGTAATGGACAGTGAAGAACCAATGACCCAAGTGTCATTCTTGTCACTGGTCGGGATCTCGATCCCCTCCCCCATCTCTGGCAAATAGCATCTTTACCATTTAGCTGGGAAAGGTTTAGACTGCCCTAAGAGCACAGCAGCGAAACAGTGTGCTCTGGTGCTCAGATGACCTTTTCTGTTTAAGGCTTAATCTCTGACAAATGCTTGCTTTAATTAGCCTGATACCCCCTGCCTAGACTGCCTCCCCACCCTCCCTCTCTCGCTCGGCATGTAGTGTTCTGCTTTTCTTTCTCTCTTTTCAATTTGACTTTTGGAAATCCTCAAACCTGACAAACCTTCCCTCTGTGTATTGCTATTTTATTGGAAAAATATTAAGTGTCTTTTTTCAACACATAATTGTGATCATGGGATTTCAGGATATCTTCCAGGATATTATTCAGCACACTCTAGTTTATTTAGCTCAATAATACGAAATAAGTGCACATAATGAATATCTAGGGCTTGAATTTGAAAGTGTGTCCACAGAACAAAGCACAAGGAAAGCGGTAGGTTTCAGGTCAGGATTTGTTGGAGTAAAGATTAGCCAGGGCACATTAGGAGGCTTAAGATAACACACAACAGCAACCTGCATGGCTCATCTATCGATCAGGCTCTATCAGAGACGGGGAGTGTGTGTATGTGTGCAAATTCAAGAAAACGCCAGATGGTTTATGCTTTCAACAACCGTAAAGTACTCGAAAGTACCCCTAAGTAATGTCATAATTTAATAGAGAAATTGTGTAATATTTGTAGAAAGTGAATATGTCAATTGCACAAGAAGAACGTGATGTAGAGTCTTCTGATTGTCTAGATTAAACTGGGCAAATGTTGCTGAACTGTTTATAATACTGTTGAAATCAAATCCTCTCACAGCCTCCGCTTCACCCAGAGACTGCACAAGACCATGCATCCTTTCCACTGCAGGAGCAAACACAAGAAAAAGAGATGCATGGCTACAAATCCCTGTTTTATTGGAAAGGGGCCTAATTATTAGGATGTAAGTCAGGCTGTGACTGGAGGGCCGTCTCCTTGATGCGGGCCCGGTTTATATTTATCCCCTTCTCTGCAGCTACAGCAGCAGTGCCACCATCACTACCAGCAGTGTGTGGCGCTTTTATTACATCGCCCACAGGCAGGTTCAGCCCTGTCACAGTCACACACATTCAAGCATACACTCACACACACACACACAGCCTGCAGGACCGGCAGCCAGTTGAGTCCCCTCCACAGCAGAGTTGCCCTGCATCCCCATGCAGAGCCCCACATGGGCCCATGGGACAGTGGAGGGAGGGAGCGGGTATTATGGTAATACTATGGCCTGCTGCTCCCTTCCCCTCTCCTGCAGCACAGCTGGGAAAGACCATCATTACAAGTATTGTAGCAATCTGTTTAAGAGGGACACATTGGAGAGATTGGGTGACAGAGAGAGGATGAGTGCTGCATACATAGATCACATAAAATATGATTTAAATGTGTGTGAGGGGACCAGGAATAAAATGCAAAACTTGTTATGAACACCTTATATCAAGTCTACTGTCAGAATGGCCAGCTGTAAATCTCTATTTTCCCCTTTTTTACTTTTTTATTTTATTAAAGGTTTCTCGTGTTGAGCTGGTCATATCTCAAGATAGGGGGCCTGTGGCACATAAGGAATAAATAGGACATAAAGTACTTGAATCTCTAATGCCTCATATAGCTTTACCAATCCATATTGTAGTGTGTCACAAGCTAGAAATCCATTAGAAAACGTCTAAAATCAAACAGCCCTGAAATGGTGCGACCACACTGCTGTTAGGGTCAAATTACCCTGATTTCATGTACAAATTCACTAACCAATTATTTAAGGACACAAATCGAGTACAGGAGGTATTCCTGTGAAGGTAACCCCTTACATCGCATATCTCACCATATCAGTTTGAATAGCAATAGGTTAATGATTATATATCAAGGACGTCTGATCAGAATAAACAGCCTACTCCACTATTCTGGGAGAAGATTAGACCTTTGACAGAGCAGTCACTCACTGTCGGATTAGGCTGCTCAAAGCCATCCATCTACTTGTCTTGTTTTGGAGCAAAAAAGAGCAGGCTGTGAGTCAGAGCCTTCCTTAGACTCCATCATCCTCGCAGCATTTTTAGGAAACAGAGATATCCATTACATCCTCTTTCTCACCCCCCACCCCCCTCCACCCTTCTTCTTCCCCCTGCCCTCCTTCTCGTTCTATTTCCAGCTCAGTTTTGAACAGAAAGTTCGATTGATAAAGCGTAGAATCTATAAGCGCACGCACAGAGGTGAAGGGTTATTGAATATTCTGAAGACGAACTATTAAAAATGCATATTATCTCATTATTCCTGCTGCCAAATAACTCGAAACTGTATATGCCAGAAGATGGAAAATGGCTCTCCTTGTCTTCTTTTCTTGACCTGACAGAGGGCGCATGAAGAGGAGACAAGGGAGGGAGCAGAATGGTCTTTTAAAAACTGCTTCACTGCACTAATGTTCCTGAAACCTGAGCTCTTATTGGATCTGAAGGGCATTATAAGACAAGGCATCCTCCACCCTCTACCCCTGTTTAAAGGTGAGTGTATTACTGACTTCCTCACAGCAGCAGTTGGTGAGAACGCGCTGTTTATTGGTGATGTCACGTTATTTTCTTTTGTAAAAACAGCCACTGAGAGGGCTGGTGAAATAATGTTCAGAAAAGACATTTGTCAGCACTTACCCTCCCCCTGCGCCTCACTCTTACCACACACACACACATTCACATATTCTCTCTCTCACATGTGCACATACACACACACACACACCAGGAGGCCTTATTAATTATTTGTAGCCACTTGACTTCATATTGTGCTTCCAGTGGCTTGGTCAAAGATTATAATTACCACTTCCCTGTTTGTATCATTTTCCATCTCCTGTGCTTTTAGTGCAGTATTACTTCTCTTGTCCCCCTCTCTCTCCCTCTCTTCCTCCCTCTCTCCCCGTATACACAAGACCAAAAGTGCAGGCACATCATTTATTGATAAGACAAAAAGAATGTAATGAAATTATCAATGTTCTTGAATTAATTATGAACATGATTAAGAAAGCTAAAATCTCAGGAGCCAGTCTCTCATTACCCATTCACTCTTAGGGATTGCTTTCATTCAGGGAAGGAGAGGCGAAAAAGCCTTCCAGCAGAGCCCACTCCAGCTCAGCTCTTCTCCCCGTGTGCCTGTCCCCTTGTCTCTGCTTGCCAGGCCAGTTGACCATCCCTCCGACAAACTAGCCACCGGCCCGCCTGGACGGCTCTCTCGCGCCCAGGCTTGTTACTGTGAGGTAGTCAGACGCAGCTAGCTGCCTCGTGGCCTCTGACATTTGCGTGGAAAAAAAAAAACGAGGATGTGCTCAACTTTCCTCTCCTACACCTGCGATCGCGCTCTGGGGTCTCAAGGTAAGTGAAACTTTTGTCATTAGACTTAAACAGTTTAAGTTATCAGTTGTAGCTGTGTTTTCCACACGTCTATGTGTCTGTTAACTGCTACAAGAAATAACTTTCACTATATCATATCAGTGAGAGTGAGTGCTTTCTTCATCTTATTTTACAGGGAAAATTAGAACAACATAACTATATTGCTAACTAAGAAAATACATTATGCTTTACTTTCAGCAGACTTTCAGCAGCTTGACTAGAAAAACAGAATTTGTGGTAAATCATCACCTCTGTAAGACAATGGTAAAATAGACATTATAATGCATATTGGATATTACAAGTGAAATTAAGAATCTTTTACTTATGCAGTCCGTTCATTTGATTCTGTTTGATTTTGTCACACCAGTGTTACAGTGGCAGTCTGTAACTCCTTCTGCAGTGATTTAATTTAAGAGCTGTCTATTTCCACCGTGCAGTTTATGGTTGATATGAAGTGAACCGCTCTACCTCTATCACACAACTACGCGCCCGAATAAATATGACATCCTGGTGACTAAAACAAAATGTAGTACATGTAATTTTTACCTTTTAAATAATCAAATGTATTTGCAATGATGCATTTGTGATTATGTTTGTATAGCATGCCCACTTTGTATCAATGAGTGTAATTTCTCATGATGTTTAACTCGTTTCAGCAGCTATTTATCCATTTATATTCAGTGAGAGCAACAGAAATGCTCAGCGAGAGCTACGTATATTTGGTTCGCTCGAGCTTTCTTTTGCTCTGTCACACGGGACAGTATATGGGGCAATACTCCCCAAAGTATTGGAAGTTTCAAACAAAGTCTCTCTTTTCTAACTGTCTTTCTAGCTTTCACTACATGTGCACACTCTTACACACTCTCAACTACAACCCTGCACACACACACACACACACTTAACCATACTGTAGATATAGAAATATAAACCTAAGCCTTTTTTTTTACTCACACCACAGTCCAAATAGAAATGAGACAAACCTACACATGGAAACACCACAGTATATTCACACTAATGTGCACACAGCTTATTCATCTCACAATGATTCGTGTTATTTTATAACACTCTGAAGTTAACCATTAAGTGATAACCAATTTAAGGTGAAATACAAGAGATATTCAGGCTTATACTTTTTACTGACAGCGAGAGCTTTGTGGGAAATTTAAAAAAAAATCCTAAAGTGAGATATGTAGAGCATTCCTTTTTTCTTTCTCAAGAATTATTATTATTCTTGACTTCTCTGTCAGAATTAAAAAAAAAAAAAAGACCCACTTGAAGGAAACAAAAACAAGAGAGAAAAGGAGAGACATCTTCGGGGTTAATGGCATTCCTCCTGTCCTAGCGATTGATCCAAGTATTGGATCGCCCATAAAGCTGCAGTTACTGGATATTACCCGCTATCGGCCTGCAGTGATGGCCTGGATAAGAAGTGCTTACCAAAGAGGATGCTCCTTCAGGGCAGATACAGTTTCCCAGTCCTATGGGAACAACAACCACATGCCTGCTGCTTGCTCAGGAACTTTCTTCCTCATTGAGTAAATCCAGGGCTCTTATCAAGTTACTGGCCTAGTGAACTGCTCAAAAAATGTTCAAACCTCCTTAAATTTTTGAGCCGTGTTGGGAAAGAGCAGTAATCAAAAGGCACCTGTGTTTCATAGATAAGGGTGTTGATTGTTTGGTTTGGCTTTTATGTTGGATGAAATGGGGGTTATCGCAGATTCAGATCTGAGCAGAATGCACTTTTGCTGATTTTTACTGGGTTCACTTGCAAAGTTGCTGAGTTACCCATAACAGAACTGTATGTACTTAAAAGAAGTTTACTTTGTTTCCACCAGACATCGTTAACCTCGTCTTTAGTAATTACTGCAGTTGGTTTAGAAAAAAAAACCCTAAAATGGGCTTCAAGAAGCTTGTCCTCTGACTAGTCCTGTCTGTTGTAGTCTTCCTCAAGACTTGTATTGTGAATAGCCGATTCCAAGTCTGTGCCAAGGTGGGCAGCACTACCCATGAGCATCTGCTGTATGTCTCTCTGTGGTATTACCCATGAAGCACCTGGCTCACACCACACACAAGCAACCAGAGCCCAGATGGCGGCTAAGCAGGCTAATTATTTCAACACAAAACTCCACTGTCCCACACCGGCACTGTGGAGCCGCTTTGGCATTCTGCATCTCTGTCTCTAGATCTGCTGAAGAGGATGTCTGCCATGGAACTATAAAGGTGTCAAGTGGGTAATAATAGTCATAGACAGGCCCCCACACAGTGCTTGGCATCCAGATGTAAGGTTGGTCATAAGTGGTCTCCTTTAGAGGAACAGAGGCATTTGGCAACGTTTGATAGTGCATTGTTTTCGCCCTCATTGCTCATTGATGCAAATTCACGCTCATAATATTCCAGAGTTGATAACAGCATAAGTTTTTGTCAGTCTTTTTTTTTTTTTAAATCCACTCATGAATATAAGCACCTGGAAAATGCTGACTCGGATTCCTAACAGTATTCGATCGCAGTGGAAGCAACAGTAGCCAATTGTTTCCCCTCAAAAACATGAGCACAATAAGAATCTCTATTGTTCTGTGTATTTTCTCTTCAGCCACGAAATAACTGTGACATTTCCTTCCGCCTCCCTGTTCATTCATTTATTTACGGTTATCCACTGTGTCCCCTGGTGGCCATAGAGAGGTGCTGTGACGTCTTTAGATGCCGACACTGACCCAAAATCATCCACTTACCTCCTCTGTAATGTTGCTGTATCATCTAGGACACACTGTGTCCTTGTTTCAATTACAGCAGCACTCCCAGCGCATGCACTACATCCTGTTTGTGTATGGCATGACAGGCTTAGCGCTGTCAATTCAATTTTCAAGAATCCACTGACACTTACAAGCTCTAAACTACTGCAGGTGTAGTGCACTGCAGGCTTTAACCAAATTACAGCTGGTCTGGTAATCAAGCTGTGTCAATGTCTTTATCTAACATCAGAGGCAGCAGTTTCGCTCTACATCCTCTCAGAGGTTGATGAAGTGTTGCCATTAGAGCGCATCTCCTGCCTCTTCAGCCACATCAGAGGAAGAATAGGTTGTGCTAGATAAAGCTGTCACTTAGAACAAGGTGCAGCGGCCACAGTGATAACCTACTGACTCCATCATTACAAACTCCACTAGTGGGAGGACGGCCAATATCTTTATCTACTGGTTCTTGTTGGAGAACTATATTGCTGCCTGTAGCCATTGTGTTTTGTATTTCATAGACATGAAGAATATGGATTGACATGCAAAATAAGTAAATCAGGAGAGCGGTTAAGCTACTAGGCATCCGCCACATGCTTCTCATCTCACATTATTTATTGGAAACATTAGAATTTCCTGCAAACTCTGTGCTGTGTGCTTTTTCTTATGTTTTGTAGTGTTTGAGAATTGAAATATTTATAAATGTCCAGCACAATAAAATATTTTACTATCTTCTTTAATGGCTAATACGATGTAGATATCTGGAGTTGGTTGTCAGAGAAGTCAGAACATTTACATTCAAATAAATACATTTATTGTGATGTCCAGCTACTAATTACAGTTTTTTACGTGGGAAGGAAATTGCTAAACTATTTTGTAGACTCAAACTCAGAGGCAAATTAGCTGAAGTAAAGCAATAAAGACTCTAATTTGTCCCAGTACAGTTCTATCTCATCCTTTCACCCCCCCTCCTCCTCTTTCCCTCTCCCTAAAGTGTATCCCATCTGCTTTGGGGACCTCTCGCCAGCATGCAAGAGCAGGATAAGCACACCATTTCCCTGTCAATACTTTGCTATTAGCCTCTGCAGATCCATATATCACTGAGCTGTAGGGTATGAGCTGGTGTAGGTTGTGTTCTTCTTATCTGAATGGCCAAGGCTGGGGTTCTCCTCTCTGCCCTGCACTTTGATTTATCCAGTCAGTAGGTTAATGAGAGATAGACGTTGGCCCTTTACTCTTACCCTGGGTGGTGGAGCGGCATGTACATGTAGACCGGTAGGATAGAGTAAGAAAGGCACCACATAATGTATTGTAAGAGAGTTTTCAATAGCAATTGAACAGTGGCAAGAAAATGTATGTTAATCCTTGGAAATAGCTAGTTTTCTAATTTAACTTTTGTTCAGATTAGACCAGTTTTACTTTAATCTTAATAGCACACAAAGGCAAACATGATGTGTATCACTTGTAATGCTTATTGAAAAATTAAGTAAATTGCAAGAATCTGTGACTCAGATGTGTATTTTCCTTATAGCTCTATCTCATTTCTGCCATATTTAAAAGTTATTCTTTGCCGTTAGCCTGTGCTGCTTCTTTATCTTTAGTTTTAGTCTCACTGAGCATGCTGATATTTAATTCATTTGGACTTGTTCAAGTCCAAGATCCAAACATTTAACCTTTTTTTTTTTTATTTAACAAAAGACTAAAGACTAAAAAAGACTAAATCAAGAGAAAAATAAATGCTTTTTGCGTTTATTTGTTTGCTTTTTGTTTTGTTTTTTTATGTACCATTTGTATTAACAGTTGGTTGGCTGGTTTGTTTGTTTGTTCATTCATTGGTTGATTGGTTTGTTGGGGGTTTTGTGTCATTGGTCCAGTTGTTTGTTCATTTGTTCATTCGTTTGTCTGAATGGTCTAAAGTGGAATTTGGTGAATAGCTAAGTGTACAAGTCAACTATGATATTTGTGCTGACAACCATGATGGTACCTGCTCACTTTAAATGCTGAAAAGAGTTAATGCAAACTATATCTATATAATGTAATAACTATATATGTTGTTTCGACAGCAGATATTGGGGCTGACAAGAGTCTGATCTATGGTGTAATTACAAGCCTCCTGCAGAGAAAGGAAAATTATGGGTCTCATGACAACACCGTCTGTGGCAGCTTACACCTTAACTTAAACGCTATATTTATTCATATTCATGGACAAGATGAGTATGATAAGTAGTGCCAACCCTAAAATGAGATATGTTGCCT